TTAAATCTGAAATTTTTGATTCTGTGCAAATAGAGCACAAAGCTAATTCACTCAGTTGCTCTTGCTCTAGCCCTGGCTCTACCCCCCTCTGCTGGGTGAGCTGCCTAACTGCACCACACACATCATTCCATGTGCATCCTCAGGACTATAGAGAGACGTTACCGGACGGGAGTGAGGAAAGGAGCGGAGAAAAGCTCGCTGCACCTATCCACTCCATTCGTCACATCAGGTACTTGTACACATCTCTAAGCACTGCAACTACACATCCTTCAGATGTGTTTAATATGAGCTTCAGTGCTTAATGGGCTTCCCTGATAGCTCGGCTGGTAAAGAATCCGCCTGCAATGTGGGACACCTGGGTTCGATCCCTGGGCTGGGAAGATCCCCTGGAGAAGGGACAGGCTACCCACTCCAGTATTCTGGCCTGGAGAATTCCATGGACTGTATAGTCCATGGGGTTGCAAAGAGTTGGACACGACTGAGCGACTTTCACTTCACTTCAGTGCCTAACACCAACAATACTTCTGAGCACTCCTGCGTGCATGTTATGGTTAGACACTGATGACAGAGACAAGTCCCTAGTCTCAGGAAATGGATGGTCTAGTGATGGAGACAGACTAACAGATGTAGCACATGAGACAGTGGGTAAGTGCCACTGTGAGATATAAAGTAGAACGAGGAATCCAGTTTTAGAGAGTGTAGTTGGAGCAGGCTCTCTGCAGAGGTAACATTTCAACAAGGAGCAACTGAGGGAATGCCTGGAGGAAGGGCATCCTACAAAGGGGCAGGCGAGGACCCTTGGGGAGAGTAAGCCTGCCACAAATCACCACAGCAAAGCAGGGAGCCTGGAACGAGAGAGGAGTGAGGCGGGAGCCGGCTCATGCAGTTTGTCGGTCACGGTGAGGACAGAGGTTCTGGGATGTGATTACCTATCAGAAGGGTCAAGTAGAATGATGAAGTGACCAAAGTGGGGGAAGGAAGGAGGACTGTCACCAGGCCACAGCAACAGTCCAAGAGAAATGGAGTGGTGGCCTGGATGACAGATGCAGCAGAATAAAGAAATGAGTGGATTCAAGAGCATTCAGGAATCGCTTTCCAGTTGTCCAATAGGTTCATTCAAGATCTAAGATCAAGACTCAAACTTTTAACTTCTTAATCACTGCTTCTCAAGACATACTGAAAGTATAGTGACTCAGCAGCATATGTAAAGAACAAGCACAGCCACAAAACCACAAAACACTTCACTAGAACACCTGCTGCTACTTTCACTCAAAGATAAAACTCTCACTTTTGCTACCTGTTAAAACACTTGAAACACAAGAAATCAGTTTCCTACTTCTTAAATGAACTTCCTAAGCTGTCATATAAAGCCACAGTCCCGAAGTGACTTTAAACATAACAATCTATTTAAAGGTCAATTTTTTCAGGTTACTCTTCTACTTAGCCAGTTAAGTCAGACATAGAAAGGCTATGTCAGAGTTAATATTTCACCAATTAACTTTGCCACTCCTAAGAGAAGTGGGGATCAACAACGACCCTATTCAAGTCCAGTGCGATGCACTGAAAACTGTCAGATGCTCCATCCCAATTGTAGCATGCCCCAGATTAACTCCTTAACCCATCTGCACTGGAGACTTAAAAGCTTAATAGTAAAGATTAATAGTCTGAGTTCCTGATTTAAACAAAACCTACTTAAAATGAAGATACAATTTTTTTAAAAAAGATGCTTAGAGAATGTTTCATGTACTTTGTATAAGTTCAGTTCAGCCGCTCAGTCACGTCTGACTTTGCAACCCCACAGATTGCAGCAGGCCAGCCTTCCCTGTTCATCAGACCATCACCAACTCCCGGAGCTTGCTCAAACTCGTGTCCATCGAGTCGGTGATGCCATCCAACTATCTCATCCTCTGTCATCCCCTTCTCCTCCTGACTTCAATCTTTACCAGCATCAGGGTCTTTTCCAATGAGTCAGTTCTTTTTATAATTACTATCAGTGAAAATCCTCTGAAGAAATTGAGTAGAAAAATTCCAAAATCTACATAGACCGAACATGAACATATACTCTAAGTCCCTTCCAAAAGAACCTTCAAGTTTTGGGCTTTTGAGGATGCAAAAGTGAGGTCTTCAGTGACTCAGTGACCCTCAGTGAGAAGGTAGAGCTGTATCTGCAGGAGGACGATTTCACTGAACTCGAGGCTGTACAACAGGAGGAGCTCAGTAATGAAGACCTGATGGAACTGGAGGGAGGACAAAGAGAGACAAAGAGGAAGCGGCAGTAACTGAAGGACCGAGGAAATTCACGATGCAGGAAAAGGCAAGGGCTCTTCTTTATCTGAGGAGGCACTGTCAGCTTTTGAGGCACAAGACCTGAACACAGAATGGGACACGAAGGCTGCAGTAGCCGTTCAGAATGCAATCCAGTGCTACCGTGTCATCTACAATGAGAAAAAGAGAGCGGCTACTCAGGCATCACTGGATCCTTCTTTCAAGAAGGTAGATAATTCTATCTGCAGCCAGCAAGGAACCAGAACCTGTGCCGTCAGCGTCAGGTGTGAGTGAAACTGCAGCTTGCCCTCCATCTCCTGTTGCTGACGATTCTTCAGCTCTGCCATCTCCCACTTCCTCTCCTTCCTCCAGTCAGTAACTCTTCTTACCTGTTCACGGGATGCCAGCTCCTGTTGACCAGCTCGTATACTGTACTTTTTGGGTTTCCCTGGTATCTCAGACAGTAAAGAATCTGCCTGTAATGCAAGAGACCCGGATCGATCCCTAGGTTGGGAAGATCCCCTGGAGAAGGGAATAGCAACCCACTCCAGTATTCTTGTCTGGAGAATCCCATGAACAGAGGAGCCTGGCAGGCTACAGTCCATGGGGTCACAGGGAGTCAGACAGGACTGAGGGACTAAGCACACGTACAACATAAAAAAAAAAAAACCCACCCAATCAAAAAATGGACGAGAGACCCATACAGACATTTTTCCAAAGACAACATACAGATAGGTAAAAGGCACATGAAAAGATGCTCAATACCACCAATTATTAGAGAAATGCAAATCAGGACCACAATGAGGTACTACCTTACACTGGTCAAAATGGTTATCATCAATCAGCCTACAAATAAATACTGAAGAGAATGTGGAGAAAAAGGAATCCTCACACATTGTTGGTGGTAATGTAAAGTGGTGAAACCACTATGGAAAACAGTTTGGAGGCTCCTTAAAAAACTAAAAATAAAACCACTTTATGATCAAGTAATTCTACTGCTGGGTATATATCTGGAAAACATGAAAACTCTAAATTTGAAAAGATGCATGCACCCCAATGTTCATAGCAGCACTATTTATAACAGCCAAGACACGAAAGCAACTCAACAGATGACTCCCTTAAGATGAGACACACACACACTGGCATATTACTCACCACACAGAAACTATCCCTTGCGACAACATGAATGGAGTATTATGCTTAGTGAAAAAAGTCAGAGAAAGACAAATGCTGTATGATATCACTTACGTATGGAATCTAAAAAATAATACAAATGAATCCAAATATAAACAGAAACACCAAGAAAATAAATTTATGGTTACCAAAAGGGAGAGGATGAGGGGGAAGGACAAGTTAGGAATGTGGACTTAACAAACTACTACACATAAAACGATAAGCAACAAAGATTTACTGTGTAGCATAGGAAATTATGCCAAAATCTTGCAATAACTTATAAGGAATATAATCTGCAAAATAACCCCAAATCATTATGCTATACACCTAAAACTAACCAAATATTGCAAATCACACTTCAGTTAAAAAAAAAAAAAGAACTATGTGGAAATTATATCCTAAGATCTATCAAGGTAGCATATGGGTCGACCAAACAAAAACTGGACCATTATTTAGAATAAGATTTTGCAGAAAACATAACTTTATTAATGTCTTCACTAACAACAACACTGCTTAAGCTAAAAAGATATCTGAAAATGCTTTACTAAATAATCACATAATTTTCCTTCTTAATTGGTTGTGAGTACAATCTTATAACTAACATTAAAACACAAACCACCCTTGCTAGTTTGTCTTGTTTGACAATTTTATGCTCATTTATATACTGATACAATACAAATAACAGAATACAATAAGCATTATGATAAGATTATACTAGACTCTGAAACAGAAGAAATCCTTATATTATGAAATATCTCAGGTATCATCATGCTCCCCCAGTGGCTCAGTAGTAAAGAACCTGCCTCCCAATGCAGGAGATGTGGGTTCAATCCCTGGGACAGGAAGAGTCCCTGGAGACGGAAATGGCAACCCACTCAAGGGTACCTATCTGGGAAATCCCATGGACAGAGAAGCCTGGTGGGCTACAGCTGATAGGGTCTCAAAGAGTTGGACACAAATGAAGTGACTGAGCATGCATGCATCATCACTGAGTTTTTAAAAAACAAGAAAATATTGCTTTAAACCTTTAAAATCACGTCTCTTTACTTATTTTTAAAATACATAAATTCTAAAAATATATCAAGAGTATCTGATAAGGACTTTTTATAACTTTCAGTTCTGCCAACATTCCCAAATGCATCCCTGACAACAATATCACTGGGCACAGGGGCAGGGGGGTGGGGACAGGGTGTCGGGGGCAGGAGGGGGACAGAGGGGGCATCCTGAGCTAGTCACTGATGAGGGGAGACCCCTCAGTGTGAGTCAAATTACAACTGGGACTCAGTCACAGAACCATTTGTCCACCACAGGCATCATTCCTCACATTCAAATTATTCTTCCATTTTCCCCCTAAAGTCTTTCTTTCCTCTGTCTCTAGTTCCCATATAAGCCGTCGTCCTAAACACTCGTTTATTTTGCTTTCTTTTCTCCTGTCTTTTGTTCCACTGGTATAACATAAGAGATCAGCTTCATTAAACTATCTTCTAGAGAAGAAGAATGGAAATATGATCAAAGAAGAATTTACCAAGTTTAAATTTTAGGGCGTTAAAAACCTAAGTGGTTTAATCACTGGTTGCCCAAAAGCATTCTTTGTTTCTTTTCCAAGATGATGATGATTCTTCATAGATTTCCTAAAAAACAGAACCATAACCAGAATTCAAAAGAGAGCATTTTAATAAACGCAAATACACTGGAATAAATCAGGCAAATGAATATCATAACTATTTAAATGTGCTCTTCTTTTAACAATCCAATGGACATTTGCCTAAGGCATTGAGAGCAAAAACATAAACAAACATGCTTCCTACACTCAAAGATTCAGTCCAGTAGAAGAAACAACAGACAAGAAGCCAAGAAGCCTTAACAAGGCAAGGTGCCAACATCGAAAGGAATAAACTACTAATTCTACTTGGGACCACGATGGGCAATAGCCTGGGCAAGGTTTTGTAGGGAAGATGGAAGGTCTTTAAACATTTTGTTCTATCAGGCACACCTACTACCTTCCACATTTCTAAACATGCTTTTCCAAAGGCAGAAGGGGTGTTTCCATTAGCTTTGAAATTAAAGAGACCACCACAGAGGTACCTAAACAGATCTGAGTTACAGGTAGGTGACAACGGCTCTGTAAGTGCCTGCCCTACCCACCCACCCACCACTTGCCTACATCACAGATTATCTCAAAGCACAGGCTGGAACCAGAACCAGACTAGAATTTAGACAATTTGGGGACAGAAGAGGAATAAGAATATATCACTTTCTCTTCTCTAACTGGATTCAATTGGGTTGGCCACAGAGTTCAGGTTTTTCCATTTTATGGACACCCTCTCACCTTCTACAGACAGAGAAGCAAACAGAAAGCCCAGTTAGTCCTCATATCCCATCTCCTGCTCTCTCATTTACTGTGTCAGCCGGATGGCTATTCTTTCCTCCCAGGTAAAGAAAGCTCTTTCAGCCAGGCTCACAATTCATTCTGGAATGCTCTTTCTACCTTGCTCTCTCCAGGGGCCTGTCTCATGGTCTATCAAAATGGTGGCAGCCTTGCTCACAGCCAAGCAACCAGATACCTGAGCTTCACTACGACAAGATTCCTTTCACACATGCTATCTTCTAGTTCTTAAGTATCCCCTTATAACAATGGGTTTCAGTTTTTATTCAGAAAATATGGGTCACTAAATTTCATAATCGCTGGTTCAGAGTCCAATTAGCTCATCTAAGCACTGACAGAAGCAGGAGGCTCCTAGGAAGGACTCGCCCTCCGGTCCTTCACCCTGAGCCCTGATCTACTGGGCAGTGAATGCATTCCTCAGCTTTGCGATCAGCCACAATGCCACGGGCAATTTGAGGCTCTCAAGTGTAAGTACACGTGTCTAAGAGTTCTGAGTGGTCCCACTGTTGAGGTAACTAAACCAGGGTAGAAATCAGGGAGCTGGGCCTTTTCATCTCTTCACGATGCTCTAAGATGGGTTTGATGTATGGACCAAAAACAAACTAGACTTTCAAACTTAGGTTTTTAAATCCACTATGCATTTTCTCCACAGAGGCAATATCCTTTTATTCCCTCCTAAAATGAAGGCATTCTAGGAGAAGGTTCTTTTGCCTTAAGAAATCTCTATTTTAGCCATTGCCTAAATAGCCATGCATGATTCCTACTCTCCAAAGGAAAGACCCTCTAACTCAAGGGAATTCAATTCCAAGGGATACTACTGCATATATGAGCCACTGGAACATTCCAGACTAGGAATTCTAAATGTTACCACTTGCTGAGGTCTTCTCCCAGTCATGCATTATTTGAGGCATGTATTTTTCATGCTTGGAAAGAAGATTATTACATAAACACCCTATGTCATAGATAAAAGAATCTATAAAGTCAGGGAAGGCCCATAAATATAAATACTCTATGTATTCTTTTCCTTTGTTTTTAATTTTAAAATTTCTAAGAAAAAATCATGTCGAGAGAGAAAGGTAGGTATTTTCCTAACTTACCTTTTTCCATATGGGCACCCTGGCTTTTAAAGCATCAATGGCATAGCTCACAGCTTCAAGGGATGCAGCCCTATGGGCTGAGGACACAGCAATGATAACGCTTGCTTCTGTCACTGGAACCAAGCTTTAACAAGATGAAGACAAAAATTCATCATCTCCTCTGAAGCTGCACGTTAAAGAATCAACACGTGAAAAAAAAAAATTTTACTGAAATCCAGCAAACATTTAATTCCTAGAACTAAATATCTGAGCATCAGTGGTAAAGAATGGTAAAGGCTCAGTGGTAAAGAAACTGCCTGCCAAAGTAGGAGACACAGGAGAAGGGGGTTCAATCCCTGGGTCGGGAAGATCCCCTGGAACCGGAAACAGCAACCACTCCAGTGTTCTTGCCTGGAGAATCCCCATGGACAGAGGAGCCTGGTGGGCTACAGTCCACAGGGTCGCAAAGAGTCAGATCCAACTGAAGCCACTTAGCACCGTACATAGAACTAAATATTCAGAATTTTACCTAAACACCCCATTTAGTTAGAAAACAGGAATTCATCTCAGTTGCATTTAGCAGAAGCCAAAGCTGTGACCAATTTGTTAGCATGTATCCACTCGATTTATTTGATGGGCACCAAGAAAAGGACCTCACTGATTCAACAAGTATCTGACTCAAATAAACAAGGCACAGTGTCAGGTAATGTCTAGAAATACAAAGTAATCGCATGATCAATGTAACATAGAATTTAAAATATTAAATAGAAATAAATAGTAAATAAAAGAATTGATAACATTATTAAAAAACATAGCTGTCAATGACAAAGTAATAACTAATAGATGATAGATTTAGTCCCATTGCTGGGTTCTTTACAAAGCCTGGAATTCCACTCTTTTTAGAGATACAAAAAGATAAACTAATTTCATGACCTCAAGAGGCTTTCACATCAAAAAATCTCAGACTGTCATATAAACAAAGTACAGACTACAAAACAGTTCTTTAAGTGTCTCCTGGCCTTTAGCACACATCAGCACAGGCTGCTGGGCACAGAGACTAAGAGTCTTACACATTTGGACTTTGTTACATCATCAGCTACGCTCCAAATGCTGGGAGGGACTGGGGCAGGAGGAGAAGGGGACGACAGAGGATGAGATGGTTGGATGGCATCACCGACTCGATGGACATGGGTTTGAGTAAACTCTGGGAGTTGGTGATGGACAGGGAGGCCTGGCTTGCTGTGATTCATGGGGTCACAAAGAGTGGACAGGACTGAGCGACTCAACTGAACTGAACTCTCCAAATGTTACAATATAACGAGCAGCCCTTAAAGGCACAGTCCGCCAGAATGATACATGAACCTCCCTCTCAGGGTAATACAGGATGCTAGTGAAAGATCTCAGAATCAGAATTAGTACAAAGGTGGAAAACAACTACACTTAAACTTTTAAATTGATAAAGGAAATCATACCCAAGTCGATGAAACACTGCTATGTGTTTGACTGGCCATTTCTGTCTAATGTCACTACAAATTTTTCTGATCTCATTTTCTGCCATTGGTAGATATGCTTCATACTCTAAGCTAATGACTTTTTTCCCTTCGAAATTATTCCTTGTAGTCCCTAAAAAAAAAGAAAAAAGACAAAATAAGGCTTCTCCTTACAGCTGAAATAGCCACACTAATTTAAAAGGGGGGGGGGTTATTTTTGAATAGCATACCAGTTTGTGTACAAATTACTTTGAAATTTTCTAAACATAAAGACTTGATTAGAAAAATCAAAAGATAATTATCACAAAGATGAGGAAATAAAATGACACTGATTAGCCAGGTTTACTGAAAACACTAAAAAGACAAACCAGTATATATCCCCTTTCTAAGAATTAAGATTTGACACTTAAAAGGAAAACATCATGTTCCCAGGATTATCATTAAGTTATTATAATCACCACTTTTCCCCTTCAATATCTGGAAATACATAATTCTCTATTAATAATGACTTTTATTCTACTTTTTTTTTTTTTGCCTTTAAACATAGGTTAAGTTAAATTACTAAAGCAAACAAGAACTAAAAATTTCTAGTCACCACCATCGGTAATCTCAGTTTACTGCTCAGGATCTTAAAATCCTCTGACTATTAACACTTGAGCAGGAGAAACACTTGCTAACTTCAACCATCTCGTACAGTCAATAGACGCTATGAAAATTAAAACTCACCTACAAACAGGGATATTGCGCCACAGAGTGGAGAAGTCACCAGCTGTGAGGCTTCATCTACTGAAAGTTTCTCAGGTGTGAATTTTATTACATCTTTAGATTTCTCTTCAACTTCATTCATATCTTTTCTAGAAATAAGATATTACTAAACCTTAATATGGAGAAGGAAATGGCAACCCACTCCAGTATTCTTGCCTAGAGAATCCCATGGACAGAGGAGCCTGGTGGGCTGCTGTCCACAGGGTCGCATAGAATCAGACACGACTGAAGCAACACAGTATGCATGGCAAACCTTAATATAGGTACTAGAGTCAAAACACCCAATTTATCAGCTGTATTTCAATTTATATTTTTTTCTATATTAGATATGTTCAGTCACTCAGTCATGTCCAACTCTTTGTGACTCTTAGATATGTTAGGAGGCATGATTTGAAATCTGATGATAAAAATAAGTATAAAATTTTAGCTGAACTCAGTAATCTACAAATACCCCTAATGAATCAAGCATGTTATAAGAAGTTTACCATTAACATCATCACTTAAAAGCTAATCTATCCCATAGGCTGAAATACTCCCCATTCTAGAACTGCTACTCTTACCTCCTCATCCACAGGCACATCACCTCTAAACCACTAGGTTACCAAGCAGTACACTCAGTACTGGCTTTGTCTTTATCCAAAAAGGAGGGCAAGCAGAAATGATGGTGACTCCACAGGAACTGCGTTCATTTCATAATCAGGCACAACCCAGTTAAGTAACTGAGGAAACAAGGGAGTGAACTGAAGGCCTGTTCACCAGATGCTGTAGGTCCTTTGCCATACATTTCATTTCATCCATCAAGGATCTATTACATACTTACTAAATGTCAGAGATTGGATATAGGCCAGGGGACAAAAAACCTGGCTTGTGCACTCAGGGCACTTATGCTGGAGGAGGAACAAAGCAATAACTAGGAATTACAAACAGGGATAACTTATGGAAACAAACAGGGTTCTGAGACATAGCGTAGGGGCTGGGGAAGAGGTATTTATGACGGTATTTATGATCATACTACTGAAGAGAAAAAAAACCAAACTACTGGATTATTCTGATGCTACCAGATTTCAGGAAGTTTCAACCTCCTACACATGCCGCCCGAGTTTTTTCCACTTTTTCTTGCAATATGATACAGGTAACCCAAACATCTATGAGCTTCAGACCACACTGAGCTCCCATAACTTGATTCTATAAGAACACAGATTCTCAAACTGCATTTAAGAAATCTTGCCAAACACACTCAAATAATACACACTGCTGCCGAGTATCTTCCTAGTCTTCTCGAAGGACAGCTCTAATCACCACATACACACACACACCCACCCCTTCAATGGCAGGCCATTGTTTTCTGAATAAATTCAAAACTCAAAAAGTAGCACTCTTCTATAACCATGGTGGTGATATGGTGGCCACAGTTTTCAAATAAAATTGAGATACATATCTAACAAAGAATTGTATTTTTTCTAAATAGAAGATCTTGCCAGGTGACTTCTTTTGCAATATTTATTCTTCACTTTTTGGGGGACTGCCCTCCAGGAGAGTGGAGAGAAAAAATGATCGAAAAGAAACAGACATCCATGGCTTGTTCTTTTCTTTAATGCAACCAAAGTTTTGCCGTCTAGGATGATACTTACTCTTGACTGAAATAAAACCACTATCAAATTAAGAAAGTTTTCTTTCATTCCTAACTTACAATTAGGGATGACTATTAATTTCTACATTATTTATTTCTCAGTTCACACATTAAGGCTCACTCTGTTTGCCTCTCCACATTATACTAAGCAAGCTTCTTACACATTATCATACTGACACATGGACTACATTTTTATGTAGTGGAAAGATGACATGGGTCCTAGAGCCACTTGCAATACAATTATAACAATAAAGTTGTCTTTATATACCTGGAAAATGGCAAGCTTTTTTTTTCCCTTAAGAAGAGAAATATTCTTACTTTTCAGCTACGCAATTTTTCTACATTTCTCTGTACTGAGGAAAGCTATTATCCAGTATTAATAAACATTATTTGTGGAAAAGTACCCAGAAAGTCCAATAATCTGACTTCAAATGTTGGTTCTGCCACTTATTGTCATGTGATCATGACAAGTTTTTTTAACTTCTTGGAATTTCAGTTTTCCCTTCTGCAAAATAGGAATATTAAAACACCAGTGTCTGGCACTGTGCCCAACACAAAATAAAAGCTCAACTGAATCATGTTAAATCAGTAGAGTGAACATACCAAAATGACATTCAACTGCAAAGATGATAGGCATTTGTAAGTCCACCTGCACCAATAAAGAGCTGGTGCAGGCAGTCTTACAAAGAGTATAAAGTAAACAATATACAGGTTATTATCTGTATGATCCTGCTCCACAACACTGGTTAAGAAAAAAACTCTCTCACATACCCAGGTGCCTCAAAAGTACTACCCTCCACTAATGGGAGGGATAATGGCAATTTCGTCTCCTGATTGAAGCAGGAGGAGCTGATCTCCAAGCTCGACATATTCTTGACGAACAGCAAATATCACCTGATTTTTGACATCAGCCAATCTGAAGGGCAAAAAGTATAATTAGACCTATCAATGCTGTTAGATCCTAAATCTCCTCAGCTCCAATTAAAATTACATAAATACTATTTTATGAAGCATCCTCTACAAAATGACTAATTAAACTCACTCATATTTTGCAGAGAAAGTATATATCCACTGAAGAACATACTTATTCACCATGAAGAACGCAGTAAATTGCTAACAACTCTTTACTGGATGTTGGGTGTCTTAGGCAATTAAAGAAACAAAACAAACAAACAAAAAAACCACACTAAACTGGACAACATTCAGACCAAGTTAAAAAAAAAAAAAAAGAAACATTTATCAGTGCATGCCCTCCCCAGGAGCTTTCCATCTAAGGAAACAAGTATGCTAAGTATACCCTGTAAGGTTCCAAAATACCAAGTGCCTCTCAGCCAGGTATTGATACAAGGTTAAAGGTAAAGTAGGACAGAGGCCCAACCACTTCCATTGATTATCAGGGCACTTTAGGAACTTAAAAAGATATGAAATCAAGAAGGAATAGTTTTCTTTTGGAAGATACATTGTGGACTATCTGCTACACAGCACTAAAGCTTCAAAGTTAAACATCTACAAGGATTTAAGTGACACTTAGTATTCCTGGAACACATTCTGGTAAACCAATTTTATATTTTGCTCCAAAGAAGACTCATCTGAGGTAGGAACAAGAGCAGTAAAATTAGACAATTTTCAAGAACCAGAAAAAAAAAAATCAAATATTGCAAAAATGCAAATTCAGCAGCAGTTAACATTTCTTAGCTTTCATTTTTCTTTCAATCTTAAAAATTTCTATCTTGAGTTCTCTAAAGAAGGGGTGGGACATAAAAATTTAAAGCACACATTTTAACAGAATTTGTAACAATTTCATTTAATGTTATAAAAATACAAAATCTAAATTTTCAGTATTTTGTAAATTATAAAAGCTAATATAGTCATATCTCTGGGAGTATCCCAGCTCACTGTGTTTTTTAAGTAAAATATCAAACCTTTCTTAAGGAACTGTTTATTTTTAAATACTATAAGTTTTCAGAAAAAATACAGCTAAGGATACTTTTGACATTAAACATAGAAATCAATATTAACTTCTTACTTTTATCATTTACTCATGCATTTTTAAATATGAAAGAGTGCTTATCATATACATTCTACAAATTTTTAAGTACCCTGGATGGCGTGTTTCTATCTCATTCCATAGCTGCAATGCTTTTATTTCTTGCGGCACAGAAATGGTCTCTGAGCGAATTCCTGCTATTTCAGCACTTTTTGCAAAATACAATACTTCCACCTGAAAAGAAAGAAAACGTATTTAACAGTAACAATTCATAGCCCTTTCCTGACTCTCAGCGCGGGGTTTGGTTTTTCAAATGCATTAATCAAAGACAATTTTGATAAATTAGAAAAAATTAAAGTGCCCATAAAAATTTCAGTATATCCACAAACTCAAATTTTGAAAAAAATTTAGGCTTTAAGTACAATTTAGACTAACTTCCAGATGCTTTTTAGTTTTAAAAATATACGCGTGGCCCGACTAAACCTCTAACAATACCTTCTTAGAAACCATGAAGTTGGCCCTTAATTTACATAAAATTATAGCACCTTTTATAAACACTTAGGCAGTGAACAAATGTCTGAGTCAAGAGATGACTTACACAAATAAATGACCAAATAGGTAAAAGACACGTCTTTGACGGTTGTCATATGACCTTCGATTCCAGTTTACATTACATTGAACCCAGCTGTCTGGGATTATGTTACGAAACATACAAACCCTGATAGTTACAAACGCAGGTGGGTCTGAAACATAGGATAAACTGGTATTCCCCAGGACAAACCTATGTAAGACAGCCTGGTATCCAAGGGACCCGACCAAGTAAAATAACCCACCTGTCACTCGGAGCAAATCATTCTCTACGAAACGAGCGTGCGTGAGTGCTCTCATTTCAGTCGTATCCGACTCTGCGACCCCATGGACTGCAGCCCACCAGGCTCCTCTGTCCATGGGATTCTCCAGACAAGAATACTGGAGTGGGTTGCCGTGCCCTTCTCCAGGGGATCTTTCCGACCCAGGGGTCGAACCCGCATCTCCTGCAGGTGAATTTTTTTTTTTTTTAACCGCTGAGTCACTAGGGAAATCACGAAACAAGCAGAGGTCTGCAAATAATCAACGGTTGGCCAATGCACAGGTGCAGCACTTTTTCACCTAAGAATTCTTAGTTAACTGCATTTCTTTTTAAATTGAAAACGTGTTTTCTTAGAAAAGAATAATCTGAGAAGCGTTTAGGAACCAGCTGGTCTTCTGGGCCGTCACCCGCCTAGGTAGAGTTCGCAGAAATCGACTTGACTTTCTTTGGGAAGGCCATAGCAAAGCCTCCGAAACCGGGAGGGGCCACCACCGCGGTGGCAGTCTCCGGGGTCTGACTGAGCAGGGCCGCGCCTGTGGAGGAAAGGGCGGACACACTCGGGCGGACTCCCCACCCTTACCTGGCACCGGGGGACCATCCCGCCAGGGAAGTCTCGCCCGGTATCCCGGCCGCGGAAGCGGAGGCGCCAAGTGGACGCAGCGCGCAGGCGCAACCTGCTGGCCCCATCCACCCCCATAGAGCATGCGCAGAGCTGGCTCCGCCCCGTTGTTTTCCTCACTGAGTTTGCGCCGCGGACCCTTGGAGTTTGGTGTTCGCTCGCGGATGGATTGCGTTGGTGGGCGACAGTTATGACTGTCCTTCAACGGGTAAAAGGCTGACCACGCGTGCCTTTATCCTCAGACGAAGGGCCGAGGTACAGGAGAGCCGACCCTGGACTCTCCTGGACACCTGCCTCCTCCGTTACGGAAACTCTGCTTTTCCGCTCACTCACCTGCAGGCTTCTCTTTCACAGTTTTACCTACCCCGCCTTCCGGTTTGTGAATATTGTTCATTAGAGGCTTAAGGCATTTGACCTGGATACATTTATACTTTTTCTAGGTAGTTGACTAGCTGCTTAGTGATTTGTCCGCACACTCCTCTACCATCTCCAACTTTTTACCACCAAGAATTCTTTTAAATTGGCTAGTTATGTAGTTACGTGGGTATAAACGAGGCGGCCCTCCCCTTGGCGCTCACAGTCCTGGATGTGAAACGGTCATGAACCAGTGATGGCAGCTCAGTGCACCGAATAGAATATACTAGGGTAACCTGTTACATTTCGTGGGAGTGAAGGGGGATAGAGGCTGGTCACCTGAGGAGTGTGGTCTAGGAAGTCCTCTTGGAGGAGAGAGATGCTTGAGCTAAATCTGCTGGAAAGATCGGCAGCAAAGGGCAGGGTGGGAGTAGAGATGAGGAAATTTTACTAGCCTGTGCCAAGCCAGAGGGATATAAAGCAGCATAATGAGGTCACCAAAGGGCAAAAAGTTGGCAAAGTAGGTGTGGCCCCTGCCAGGAAGTAGTGGGAAATGAGACTGGATTTATCAAGTAGTAGCCCACGGCCAGAGAAATTGACAAGGACTAACGCTAAGGTGGCATGTTCCCAGTGGCACAATGGTAAAGAATAGATCTGCCAATGCTCAGGAGACGCAGGAGACGTAGATCTGAAAGATCTTCCCAACCCAGTGATTGAACCCGAGTCTCCTGCATTGCAAGCAGATTCTTTACCAACTTAGCTACAAGGGAAGCCCAGGTACCATCCGTGGGCTGGGAAAATCCCCTGGAGAAGGAAATGGCAACCCACTCCAGTACTTTTGCCTGGAAAATCCCATGGACAGAGAAGCCTGGCAGGCTACAGTCCATGGGATTGCAAAAGACTCAAACATGACTGAGCGACTAAACAGCAACAACACCAAGGTATATTCTGGCAAAGTTGCTAAACATCAAGGATAAAGAATTATATTCACATCCAGGTAGAAAAATAAGGGAGGGATGACAATGATCTTACAACTGTCTGAAACATCTGATGCCAGAGGATGGTGGTGTGCAATATCTAAAAAAGCCCCAGAGCAAAGTATGACACAAAATATTACATACAGTCAAGCTGGTGTCGATAAAATGCAAATTGACATTCCTAAACCCACAAAAGTTCAAAAAGTACAATAGCTCAGATACCAACAGCTCTTTAAAAATCTTGGGCAGAAGTCCAGTCAATCAAGAGGGTAATCAAACTTTAAAACTCAGTGTTAAGGAAGTTAATGGTAAAAAAAAAAAAAACTGGAGGTGAGATTTTAATCCATTTTAATATAAACCAAAAACAACTGTGGGATTATGATTATGGAATTAAATGTAAGTGCCATCAGAATATTTTTTTAAAAAATAGAAACTGCCCCCAAATTGGAACAGGTAGTCAACAAAACGTTGATTGAAGCTGCTTAATAGCTCTCACAATCTTGTCAAATTTAAAAGGATATGTTAGGGGTGACTATGTCTTGTAAGTAAATATTCTGATGATTTTTAATTCCTTCAGTTTCACTTCAGTTATTTTGTTGTAAATAAAGTACAAGTGAAAATAAAATCTAAAAAGAAAATTGGCATATAGTATCACATATGTATGATATATATATCTTTAATGCCCAAAGAAAAGGGTTGGAATAACATTCACCAGATAACAGTTACCATATCTGGGTAGTAGGATTGTGGATAATATAAAAAATACTTTTGCTTCTTCTTGTAAATTTCTGTGTTGCTTGATTTTTAACAGTAATAAATTTATTGAGTGCTCTTACTATTTAGGCTTTGGGCATACATCTGTGAGCTATAAGAATAAGGTCCTTGCATCATGGAGTTTGCTTTCTCATTAGGAAGATAGGCTGTATGTAAGAAAACAAATAAGAACAGTTTGATGAGTTACATGTAGGGGAGGAACAGGGTGCCCATTCCTTGGGGTCAGAAGCAAATGAACACTGAGCTGAGCTGAGACCTGAAGGAGGAGAGGAGCCAGCCTGTGCAGTGCTGGGGAAACAGTTTCTGGA